ATGCATTTCTTTTTCATTTTACTCGCTAAATCTCATAGTTAGTTGCATGCTGAACTAGTCACAATTTCTTCAAAAAAAAAATTGCTAATAATGCTTGGACGACCTCTACACACCGACGAAGCATAGATTCCCCTTCTGGAGCATGCTTCCAAGTTGCCCCCCCCCCTCCAAATTTTGGACGATTGGCGATTCCTTATCCTCCTGTTAAGATAAACTCAGGTTTGTTCAATAGGATTAAGATCTGGGGAGTGTGCTGGTCAATCCAAAACCTCGATATTTGTCTCTTGGAGGAATTCGGTTACTAGTAGTGTAGGGTCTCACATTATCATGTTGTAGTATAAACTCTGGGCCTTCTTCGTTGGTAACTGGAAAATCGTTATTCTGCTATGCTGCAAGAACAATGTGGAAAACATAGTACCCGCTCTGGCCGCCTGATTCATCGGCGCTACCATCGCCTCGGTCAAGCGCTCCCTGAGCATTGTCGAAGAAGCCTGAAAGACTCCGAAACAGTAGTAGTAGTTATTGTCATTGACCGACCTGATAAGTACCAGACTATGCAGAGCATGGTGGATACAGGTGATTTATATAGTCCCCACGAAACACATTTAAGTTGGTGAGCTCTGTCAAAAAAATACCGCTCACACCATAATAAAGCCGCGTCCAAAATGGACAGCTTCTCTAACATTTTGATCGCGATATCGTTCATATACATCATTTCCAAGCTCGCACAAGTGTATCGTTGCGGCTAAGTCTAAATCTGGACTCATCAGTAAATGTGTCTCCACTGGGGGCTCTTCGATGTGCTCGGGTTATCTTACAACTCTGCACCGCATACCAATTACGTGGACTCTGTTCCGTACTGTTTGTGTGGATATTCGCCTCCCTGTGGCATTAAAATGAAGATCAAGAATGTTCTTACGCTGTTCTTGTCGTATCTTGAATAATATATTTCACTAAATTACCATCTTCACGTGCTGTTGTCACTGCTCAATGATTGATTTGAAGTCTTCGAGGTATACTTCTAATGGAAAATTCTTCTTGATAGAAAATAACTGTCCTCACTACCTACTTCGATTTGATTTAAATATCTTCTTTGGCTTGGCCAAAAAAGACATTTAAATCAAAATGTCTTCTCAACGCATCGATATTCATGCAGGCGTCAAACACCAAATTACTATGAGACCAATTCTGGTAAACATTTTTAATAAAATCAAGTTATCTAATAATCTTTGAAAAATAAGTTTATATACACAGATTTATTTGTGCACCTATAGTCGTTATCTTTAGTTTATTTCTAGAAGGAGCAATGAAGCAGGTAATTGTTATTGATTAAACATACTGGTATGCGTCAATCACTGAACACTGGGAAGAAGATTTTAAAACTCAGTACCTATTTCATTTCACATTCATTTAGTAATGTCAATAATATTATATATATTTCTGATCATTTAGGATAAAACCTTAGACAAATGATTTTAACACTGCTATGCTGCTAGTCACATGCTATGTTGACGATAGCCATTTATTAATTGCAGAAAATAATACTACAGAAGTCTTAAACAAGGGCTTATTAATAATACAAACAATTGGTTCAATCAAAACAGGCTCAGAAAAAAAAAATAGAGTCAAATTACAGTACGAGCTTCTTTCTATAGCACTCTTTCAAAGAACAATCCAACGTGTCAAATGAAACTGAGAGCAAAATAACTAGTATTTTTTGCCATAAGATGTAGAACATGTATTTTTAAACCACTTTTCTCTATCTCATTTTGCTTGTTTACTGAGCTAGGCAGGTTCTAGACTTTTTAAATAATACATATGGAGAAAGTCGGATCGGTATTAACTTTTTTGTTTTGGGAACTCCGTAATGAAATAAATCAAAGTTTACAAAAACGCCTCCAAAAGACCTTGAACAAAACATTTTCTACATTATTACCACAAAAAAAGTGGCGTGGTTGTGGAAAAAAAAAATACAACAAAATATACCTTAGCCAATGTATTTTGCTCTCCATCAATCAAATTTGCAGAGAAGTATTATTATTATTACTTCAAATTTTTACGAAAAAACATTTTTGGATAATTTTAACCAAAATTTAATACCAGCAGACTTCAAATGCACGTTACTGTTTGTTCGTTTAACGAATATATCCTCGAAGGGGTAGCGACAATTACAGTAATTGCCCGCAAAATATGGCAATATCTTTCATATCCTAATTGAGCATTTAAACGTCTGCATTATAATACGCAGCTACAAAATTCGTTAATGGCCTATTAAACCGACTTATTAACAATATTTTTATCGGTCAGGAACGCCCATTCAACATTTTCTGCATCATTTAAAAAAATATTTCATTCAACGCCCGCATGCACGCGACTTATTATAGGGGGTGGCGGACTGTTATTTTTAAACCAGGCCGATAACTTATTAGGTGATATTTTTTAATACATTTAATTGATCGTTGTGGCATAATGGGCGTATATGAACCCACAAAGTCGTTAATACTGCTAGATCGATTACTATTCAAAAATGGGTAAAGTATAGAAAAAATATAGGACTAAGAAAATTCGATTAGGTTTGATTAATTCTAATACCACACTAATTTAATCAAATCTGAACCTCCTACTGTCTCCAAGATTTCCATAGTAGTGACAATACCATTTTCCTCATTATTGAGGGCCACTATTGTATATATGCCATAGGCTTTTTTTTATATAAGAATAGCATATAATATAACAAAAATATATTTAGCCAATATTTCATATATTTTTTAAATTCTTGGTCACTGTAACAAAATGAGAACAGTGTCAAATACTCGTTTATCGAATTTATTGAATCCGATTTGAATTGATTTGATTTGATTGAATTTTGTAATGTGCAAATGCGGCAACTAAATAAATTTTGGAAATTTTCGAGAAAATTGCAGGAGTAACGAAACTGATGAAATTCTCGAAATTTGTCGTTCGTTTTTCAGACAATGATCGCTTGCAGACTTATATACAGGGTAGTCAATTAAGAATTCAGTGTACTTTATCTCCGAAACTGTTCGTCGCCGAGACTTGGAAAATATTTTCAGATTGACAAAATGGTCGCATTTTTATTTAATACCTTGTGACCTAAATATTAAAACAAAGTTTTTTTTTAAATGAACAGCTGTAGGTGGCTGTCGACGTTCCCTAGCGCACTAAGCGAGCTGGTTGATATAACAGGAGAGAGTTTCTTTAAAAAATTACAACCATATGACTTTTTTTCTTAGAAATATTTAACAAATCGTATCTTGCAGGCAGTCTGGTTTACGAAATTTTAAAAAGGCCCTTTTAGTCAGGTATTGCTTCTTTTTTATTTGTCTTTTCCCAAAACTTAATGAAGTTTCATAATTTTGTAATTTTAATTCAAAATTAATTCAAACTAACTGAAATTTAGTATAAGAACTTGGAAATATTTTAAAGATATCGTCATATAATATGTTTCAAAATATTGAGCAAACTTGTATGTTATTCCGTTTTCTAAAACTTGCCCGCTCAACAAGCTTTTTCTCATCTGAACATCATCAGGAGTTATAATAATTGGCATAATTTTGAAATCAGCACGGCATACCTAATTGAGTAGGCTATAGTAGTAGTATTAGTAATTTTATAGACACCCAAAGGGCCCCTATATAAAAAACAAAAATACGAATTAGGTCAAACAATTGCAAGAAATGTAAAAATAAATAGAAACTACCCATAAGTCACATTCATTTCTAACATGTCTAAACAACAGGAACTAACCAAAACTTTACTAGTTTCCTTGGAAAAATCCAATTGGACCAAATAATTACAACATATATGGAATGAAACAAAAACTAACCAACACAAATACTAATTTCCTAAAAAACGCCATAATGAGCCAAATAATTTCAGGACAAGATAAGAGAAACAGGTATCTGTATTGTCATATCTTAACGCTAGTTTAAATCAATTTTTGAATCTGGCCTCGAAGGAGACAACCTTCTGGGGCATGAGGTTAAGTATCAATTTAAGTGAACCCAGGCAAAACTTTTCCGACGGCACATCCAATCTACGGTTTAATTTTAACTAAAAGTATCACTCGGCGCGAAACAAAGTAAAAATCCTTCCGTCGGAAATTAATTTGATTAGGTGTCCGCAAGTTGTAAATTAACTTCGAGCCTATCGGTCGGCGATCTAAAAAAAATCAACTCATCATCGCGGAGATCGCGTATTCTGCGCGACTATATCATAAAATAATTACATGAGGGATTGATTCAGATTGCAATCGATAGGTTACCCGAAGGTTGCAATTAAGTACCGTATATAGGTACGAAAAAGTGTGGGATTTTTCAAAGTCACACTTACGGCCAATAGTTCAGGCGATCCACGCCCCTTGTCTCTGTCCTGTCGATCCAGTTTGGCAACCTCGTGTCACTCGGGCGACCGATTTAAAAATCCCAATGAGTCACACCACTATTAACCACACAGAAAGCGTCGGAAAGGGTTACAAACCGCACCACTCGCGTTCACAGCGCCATCGGACCAAATTTAGACAAACCGTCTCAAGCCTAATCAACTTTGAACGGTGCCCCGCGCTTATTGTTCGAGCAATAATTGAAAAGTCGCATACTTTCGTGTAGTTTTGATTGAAACTGACTTAAATCGGACTATAGCTTTTTCCCCGTCAAGTACCCCACCGCGAGCATTCATAATATCACACTATAATTTGCCTTTTTTGTCTTATTTTCTTTCTCTGCCCTCCTCTATTCAGGGCGGCCATGCATCCGTAAAACCCGCCCATTTAATAGCACCCCAATTATCCCGTACGGCTGCGGCATCTACCGAGTGCCACCGGAATCGATCGTTCGACGCGGTTGTCGCCAGAGAGAGCCACCATACGTATCGGACTTCGACGTTCGATCAGGCGCGAAACCTTTGTTCCCGACATGGTTATTTCAAAGACAAACGCTTAATTCAAAAAATATTTATTTACAACAGTAATTATAGGCATCGTTGGAGCGTTCCATGAAGTTTTGATATATATTTTCTACAATTTTTAAGGAACCAATATTTTTCCATATTTTTGAATATTTTTGTCTAAATTGACACCGTATATTATTAGCATAATAAAAGTAAATATTATAAACAGTGATTTTTGTTACATTACAACCATGTTTATTTGTTTTGAATAAATTTTCTCCAATTTCCCAAACAATCTAAATTATTTTTCGTTTTTTTTTAAGGATGTTTGAAAAATTATAAATCATTATGAATAATTGACACTCTTTATCTACGGAAACAAACAAACCTATATTGACATTTTTTGCCTCATAAACACCAATTTTTGTTATTTTAAAGCCGTCTTTATTTATTTTGATTTAATTTTACTATATTTCCAAGTATTCAATTACAAAAGAAATAATCTTTAAAACTTGTGTATAAAAATAGTTAATTATAATTTTAAATACAAAATAAATGTCAAAATTAATTCAAAATAAATAAAAAAATGTTCTTCAAATTTCAAAAATCGAAAAGAAATAGACCCCATCGGCCTAGAGAATTGTGAAAAAGTGCAGTTTTGAGTTTGAAAATTTGAAAAATCAAAAGATTTAAATTTTTAAATGCAAAAAATAATTCCAACACACTTCGTATATTTTTGTTTTCGAAACTAAAAATTGAAGAAAAACGTTTTAATGTGGACTGAAAAATGAGAGAAGATGCTTTATTTTGGACTATTACTAATCAAATCGTTTTTTCAAAAATCTGAACAATTAACGCCAAAGTCGGGTACCGAAAAACATCAAAAATAAAAAAAAATCTTCCTATTTGAAACGCTCCCTATATACAACAATTGGTCCCTAAATCGCGTTACATACTTAGCGCTAAATACACCCATATTCTGATAAATAACTTTGCGGATTTGGGGGGAAAATTTGGGGATTGTATTGGGGCGCGTACGACGCACTTTTATCGTTCGACTGCCTCCTCGTTCGTGGCGGTTCCTCATCTTCCGTCCTCGTCGCCGCATCCTCTTCTACGTTTGGCGAGAGTTCCGCCTTTTTGGTATTCTTGTGCGTCTTGACGTGTTTGGCCAGATGATCGGAACGCATAAACCGTTTGGAACAGACAGCGCAGCAAAACCGTTTCTCACCTGTGTGTGTTCTGAGGTGGCGCTGGAGCTCGTCCGATCTGGTAAACCTTTTCCCGCAGAATAACCAATTACAAACGAAAGGTCTTTCGCCGGTATGCCACCTAAGGTGAGCTTGGAGGTGGGACGTTTTGCCGTAAACTTTATCACAGCCGGGGAAATGACAAATATGCACTTTTTTCGAAGACGGTTTCTTCAAGCCATTCTCCTCGTTCAGGCAATTCGGACACTGGCACTTGATGCATCTCCTTGCTTTGGTCGAGTACGAAGGAAAATCTGCGATTTCTGACTTGATCATTTTAATATTCGGAAAAGGACTGATGTAGTTCGTCTGTGGCCAGTGATGGGAGTAAGTTTGCTGCTGCATCATCGTCATGGTACCTTGTTGGGGTTGGTATCCGCTCGTGGCTAAGTCTGCAGGAGGAGGAGAGTGTTGGAACCAGTAGGTGTTGTAATTGTGGGCGTAGGCACTTTGGTAATGGGGGGAATATTCCAATGGACTCCTGGCGGTTTCCAGAGACACTTGGGCGTATCCGTCGCTGCTGCAGGAGGTGGTGCTGGCCGGGGAGAGTTGCGTGTGCGTCGAGTAGGCCGGGTAGAGACGGTTGCACGAAGCTGCCAGGAGGTTCAGCGGAGACATCTGTAATTAAGATTAATAAAAAATATATAGTAGGATACGATTTATGTAAATAATTTTGTAGCGAAATGAAAATGAAAACCACTATACATTTTTAGAATTTTGACTCTGAAAGCAATTTGGAATTTTGTATTTTTATGTTTGTTGCATTGTAAGGAAATTGTCACCTAGAAATTTTAAGCTACTGATTAATCACAATTTTTGAGTTCAGTGGCAAATTTCACTTGTTGATACTGATATATCTCTTATTCCGTGGCTTTTATTATATATTTTACGTATTTTTTATACTATAAATTAAAAAGATGCCTATATAAAATCCAATACAATTAATACAATTAACCGCTAATATGTTAAATTTAAATGTGATAAAATACAATATTCTGCTTATACTTTTATTACAAATTAAAACCTCTTGATAATACGGATTTTAGATACATCCATATTCTTGAGTAATAATTTTTCCAAACTGCTGAAAATCATTGTGTGGGCAAATTTAGCGCAAAAACGTTTGAACACGGAAATTCCCACATTTTACTTCTATCGGACTTTAAATTTGATTTTTCATTGCATCGAATAAATGTTATTCTTTTCTTAATTTATTTTTTCTGTGAGGTTTCTAATACTATTTTTAATAAAATAATTTTATTTACTTTTGGTGACTATTGATGGAGAAACTATTCTCTCAGTGTAGGAAAAAAAGGCATTGGGTTATTTTTTTTAAGAAATAACGCTGTAGAATGTAAAGTCTACAAAAAATATTTGGGTCTTATCGCTTTTAGACAAAACTATCAAACAAAAGGGGTAATAAGTGTTTATATAAAACCGTTATAAAGAATAGTGTGGCAAAATATATATAACTAAAATATAACTCTCAATTTTAAAAGCCGCTTTGTCTATATTTTTCAAATTTTCCTTTAAAAATTTTAGAACTCTACTTAAATTTTTTTCCTATCACCTTGAGTGCAATTGTATACGCGAAGCCCCCACATGCAGAAAAATGTAATCAACGTCCCGCACCTCCCGGAACTCCTGATTCTGTGAGCCCAAAAAAACATTAAGAAAAAACAACCGGAACCGAAACACATCCGTTAACTAATACGCGATGATGGCCGATCGTCGAACAAAAATCATTCGGTAATAATAATAAAATCGTAAACACTAATGAAGGGGTGCCCGGATAGCGGATTACTATCATTACATGCACGCACCTGATGCGTTTGCGCCGTAGTCGTCGCGGCACCACTGCTCGGATACTGCACTACTTGAGAGGCCATCATAGCTAAACACTTAACTTTATCTAGGTGGACGCACAGCTCACTAATAACTGAGATTGCGGCAGGCGACGACCAGAAACAGATGACGATCTTCTTAAAGGAGGCGTGGCTGCGCGCAAGGCTGCGCACCTAGCTGCCGGCTAAGCCAAGAGGGTTGGAAAGGGGCTGTGAGGCAAACCCTATGGGGATCAAAAGAGACCGATATGGACCAAAAGCTCGGTGATCGTTATCGAGAACTCCGGCTTGAGCCGCCTAATAGGATGAACCGTCCGTGTCAAGAAGAAAAGCGGTAATTACAATCGCGGCCTCTGTTTATTTATTATGGGACTATATTGACGTTTTTCGGAGTCGGCTGGTTTGGTCCGTTTTTAATTATAGCTTTGCGGATTAATTTATAATTTCATATTCGTGCGAAGGGGGGGGGATTTAAAAAATAGCTCAATTTCTTTTGTTTTCGGTTCCGATGATTTACGAGAACCTATATATTAACGGACGATACTAATTAATACCGAGTTACGAAAAAAACATTTCTTCTATGAATAAAAAAAAAAAAAATTTTTATTCACTACTCTAAAATAGCCAATTATGATCAGGCGTGCGTAAGGTGCCACTTTAAAACTCTAAACACTGTTGCGAGTGAATTCGGAAGATTCCTGTACTTTAGGCACGGATTAAAAGCGTTTTCAAGTGGCAAATTATAATTCTGATACATAGTATATGACATGAAACCAGGACTGCTATGTGTCGATATAGCCAAATGAGTATTACCTTAACAAAAATCCACTTTTTTTTTAGTCTATTTTCATTCAATCGGAATTCGTTATCTTGTTCTAAGATAAGAAAACATATTAACTAGTTGATCTCAATCTCATAACCAAGAACCAGAATCTCCGTTCAAGGGCGCAGGATCTTTTTAAGTATACATGATGTTACTTACCTTAAATTCGGAAATAACTTGCCATAATTGTGGTGAAGTGATTTAACTGAAATATTTGCCGCTTTTAGTTTAAATAAGGTATAATATCTGATTAGTTTAGTAGTATAATAAAACTTTTTTGCCTTTTACCAATTTTAAATTCTACGAATATAGTATGATAGACTACGTTTATATATTGAACAGGAAAAAAATCTAATCCAATGAAGACAAAACAGAGATTATTTTTACAATACTTCTGGATTCCTCATTGTGTCGGTTTTTGCTGAGTCGAACTTGCTAACGTTTCGCCAATCATCCTGGAACAGTTTGAATCAAGCTCTGAAGAAGCCAACGGGATGATTGGAGAAACGTTAGCAAGTTCGACTCAGCACAAACCGACGCAAGGAGGAATCCAGAAGTTTTGTAGCCTGTGGAAGTTTTGATTAACATTTACATAATTCGGTTCGGGATGAAAGAAGTTCAAATTCGTCATTTTCTTCTAATAATAAAAATATATTTCAAATTTCAAACATGATAAAATACCTAAGCAAATTTGGTTGGGAAGTCTATTGTTCTGTAAAGAGAATAAATTATTTTTCTTGTTGAGGATATTATATCTAAAGATTATTTAAATTCGTGAAAATTACATTTTTTGTTTTTTTTTTATTTCTTATGATTTTAATTGTTGTGGCTATTTATAAAAATGAGAATAATTCACAACTTGTCATACATATATCATTTGAATGTAACAAACTATAATAAACTCCATACTAACCTCGACAAAGTCATAATAATAATAATATCTTTATTATCCCACATATTTAGAATATAATCAGTGTATTATGAATTTCGTCAAGTAAGTCAATATAGATCATGCAAATGAGGCAGAAAATTACATTAAAAATTTATATAATAGAAATATATAACAAAGCACAGCAATACAATGATGACAAACATTAATAGGTAAAATATTCGTTTAAATTATAAAACAGTTTTCTAGGAGGAAAAAATTTTTATTTTCGACTTAAAAAATGTTTACATTAATACTGCTCTTTAGCTCTGTGAACAGTCTATACCGGTGTTCGTAAAATATTTGTTTGAAAATTCTAGTCTATTTTTTTTTATGAAGAAACAATCTTTGTTACGTGTATTATATTCGTGGAAATATCAGTTTTTTTGTAAGGTATTTTAATTTTTATATACCCATAAACAAACTTCTAATATGCACATACACGCTAAAGGCAGTATTTTAAACTCCCGCTAGAGGGAGTCGAACTATCCGGCGACACTCTAGCGATCCACCTCAGGACTTTTTTTGGGATTCGAAAACAGATGTTGCGTGACTTGAATTTCCTCAAAAGGGAGTAACATAGAGTAATCTCGAATATATGTGAGCATAATAGAAATTTATCATGCACTCTCCAATCAAAACAGTTTTTAAATTTTTTATTAGGAAACAATAACTATGCAGCTTTGAAGAAAAAAATTGGCATTGAGTTTCCCAAGATAGGGTTTCGTCGAGCTCTAGTCCTAAAAATTTAGCGTGCTTTTTTATTTGAACGGCCTCCCCGCCCGACCAGACATTCACAGAAAGATCTTTTTGTTTTGTGGGCATATGAAACATATTTTGTAATAATTATAACGACGAATTTAATAAAAATAAATGCAAACCTACCTTGAAATGGAGCTTTAATCCTAGCTCACTTCACTTACACTAGATATTTCACTAATTTCACTCCTTAATAATCCGCTTAATTCTGTATGATTTTGTGAAACTCATGACAAACACAGTTTCACACTACACAGTTACCGACTTGGGATAAAGAAGTATTATTGAAACAAGAACCGATAAATTGAACGTTTAATTTTTAAAGACGGTTGCCTAAGAACAAATATTTATTTTGTCAAGATAATGAGAAAAAATTGCAAAGCACATTTCGACTAGAATAGACAAATTTGAACTAAATAAGTGTTCTTAATTGAAGATAATCAACAGTTAAGATAATATATTATCGTATAACAAGAAGCGCTACCATAAGTATATTCTAAATGGACACGTGGGTCGCAAAAAATAACTTTTTGTCTTTAAATGTTGGAAAAAGGAATATCATTAGTAGCGGCTGCCGGGTCATCATTTTCTTGTCAAAATTCGGCACGGCTGTAAATCAAATGTTTGCTGACCGATTCCCTTCAGGGTCGTAAATCACAACCTGCAGGTCCGATGAAGACCGCCACTGGTCCATCGGCTCATTTGTGCCGCCAGGAAAAGCCGTAGAAATACCCATAAACTTTGGGTAGTACAAAAGCACAGTTTGTGGGTTATTCTATACAAATAAGGGCGGGAATTAGCCTCTAAGGTCGATTTTCGAAGCAAATTTTTAAGCTTACAGTATATAGCTTTACTTAACGTGTGAAACACGGTAAATGAGTTCAATCCTAGTCGCCGAGTGAAGTTTATGTATTCTTCATTTGTCCCAGAAGTCATCTATTCTATTTACTTAATTTTTTTAGAAATCGAAGAGAATTTCTCCCATGAACTAGTTCTTATGCTGCATTCGAATTTATAATAGGTATAGAAGTACTCACCTAATCTAAATCTAATCTAATCACAATCTAAAAACAGCAAGAAAGAACAAATTTGGAGGTTAGAAATACGGTTTCACCAATATGGCAGTTAAACGATTCGATTTCCTTTTAACCTTTTTAATAAATCACTCAATAAATATCGAAAAATCGATGAAAGCGAATGTATACCTGCTAGTCAAATTATAGGTAGGGGATTAAAATTTGCTTCCTTTTTAATACTCAGTGGGCCTAAGCCAATAGAAAATAGCCACGATCAGACTACGGCGTCCATCTTTTTTGGTCAAATTCAGCTTTTTTGGTGCAATTGTTGCAATTAGCAATGAAACTTGTACTTCAATTGCGTCACATTCACAAGATTCGATTAAACCTCCCCAATACGAAGTTTGAAAAAATTGACACGAAACATAATACGGTCCTGACCAGTCGGTACAATCGGACCTTACGTTTTGGAAGGCGTGAAATATTCGGCACTCCTAAAACGTTAATGTCCTTATTGTTAACGTTGGTCTTGACTCCCTTTCGATCAGACTACTATGCGGTATGTAAAGGCACAGGGGGTTCTAACATTCGATATGCTCTTTAGTGGGATACACTAAACCAGATTATTCGTTCTCGGAAAGTTAAAAGTATCCATTTCAAAAAACGTGTAGACTGGGAAGCAAGTCCCATCGGGAGGCGAAAATTTTCGCTCAAAACCAAGAACGAAATTTCAAATATATCGCCGTCTTGGTACAAAACTATTCTGATTGTCAAGGTGTAACTAATCTTGAAAAATTTATTTCTTGCATCGCTTCAATCGTCCTCTATGCCACAAATTTACAAAGTGCAGAAAATATTTTTCAGGGATTATGAGTTATAAAACTGTTAAATTTAATTCGATCGTATAGTATAAAATTTTGTTGCAGGCATTTCCTCTAAGATCGAAATAAATTCAACATTTTTACGACAAAATAATTGTCATAGTACATTCTGCACCGCCTGCGACACGCCAAGCAGTGCAAAATAGCCTATTTTCTCTGCAGAACATTGATTTTTCTGTTCTTAAAAAAATTCGTAGACTTTAGGAAAAATCCTGTCTGGTGATTTCAAAAAATTAAAAATTTGGCAGCATGAAGCATGCATATAGCAAATTGAGTAAGTTTTTTGCAGTGGAATCGACGCGTACCGGTGTACGAAAACGTATAGTGAAGAAGATTGCATTGGAAAGGTTGTACTACAGTGTTGCAGAGCCTTTAATATGTTACTTTAAAAGCGTTATCTTATTGTCGATATCAGGTCGATACCGAAATGTCTGGGTTAAATTTAAAAACTTTCCCAGTTTATATACAGAGTTAGTCAAAAGTAGCGTAATGGCTATATATCTCAGGAGGATATGGGGTCCATCATCCAATATCGGCAATTGCGACAATTAACCATTCAAACGAAAAGTCGCTTCATCCAAAGAAACGGACCATCATTAATATTTTAATTCGTTCGGATTTGCCTAAAAACATTATTATCATTTTCTTATTCCTGCAAAAACTGTTGAATTTTTTAGGAAAAATCACCCCCGTATATTAAATTTAATTCAGTTAAATCTAACCCTGTATGTATATTCTATTTCACTTCCACTTGGATGATTAGCGAAACGTCAGTAATTTAGACTAAGCAAAAACCGACGCACGAGGAATCCAGAGGTTTTGTAAAAGGACTTACGATAACCAGTGGAAGTTTTTTAATAAAAATTTAAGTATATAATAATAATAATAACAATGTATAGAAATGATATATAGGCAAAATAAAGTCATAAGAATAATGATATGACGTCACCTACCGGGTTGTTAAGATTTTCGCGACTTTTCGTACTTATGACATGACTACGACTTAACTTGTAAAGAATACTGAAAACGAATAAAAAAAAAGAATGATAATATTGACTGAATGAATAAAATGAAAATCGCATTCAATCAGAAGGTAAATAATTTGACAACGAGCTTATCTGGGAATGGAACTTAACGCCCAAGAGCTGTAAAGTATACAACATAATTCCCGGTAGTTAAGTCAATAAAAATACAAAAGATAAAATTCAGCAAGCCGGGTAAACAAAACGACCAAATGGTTTGGCTAGTTAACGTTCGGGTTTCTCATTGCTCTGTGATAAAAGGCGAGTTAAAGGGACGATAATCCCGGCATAATCTGCATTTTGTTGACTGACTAAATTTCTACGAAGGCACACAATTGAAAGCGCGACCCAAAAGTCATTTAGGATATTACTTCCATTAATTTTATTTATTTTTATAGTATTTTGTCGCACTAATACTTACTGAAATGGCGATTTCCTATTTTTTTTATTTAATTTAATTAAAACTTAATTCCTAAATTTAATCTAAGTTTCCTTCTGCATATTTGTTCGATTCTCCACATTTGCGTCGCTCGTTAGCATTACTGTTTGTATTTTTAATTACTATTAAATTAAGGAACCATCAAATAAAAAATAGCTAGTCATTTGTATGCTGTGTGTTATATAAATTTTTTATTTGCAAACATAATGAGAAGTTTCTGCATGGTTTTTGTTTCCTAAAGTAGCAAACACCTCTTATACCTTATTCCTTGTATTTGTATCATACACACCCTGAGTTTCAAAAATATTTGGATGAAATTTTTTTTTTTAAGTTTTAATAAAATAAGAGATCTTATTTTTCTATTTTTACAAAAAATAATAATCAAGGTGTAACTGCAATGTGAAAGTAAATGTTCGGCGGTTGAATTAAAATTTTAGTTACTAACTTTTTCTCTTCAAAAGAAGTGACCAATTCTTTTCTGTACACCCAATAAAATTAAAAATAAAAGACAACCAGAATAATACCAGGTGATTGTAAATATGTCCTAGTTGCTGAACACATTTCATAGAAAGGCGATTACAAACAAAATCCAATCTACAACAACCGTGTTATCGAGTCAGGAGGATTAGCAAGCATATCTAGGAAGGACCTCGAATTAGCAGCGAGTTACAGCAAATACCTTAAGCTTTTTCCCAACAAATAGTGGGCTTTTACGGATTACCTGGATTAATCCTATGTCGAAATTTTACGATCTCGCATAAAAACCCAGTAATTCTATTAGGATTACAATCTATTTAAATAGGTAGGTATGTTTTTGTTTGTTTAACTGGATGTCTCCAAATTTGCCAATTTAAATTCGAACAGCGAGTTCCCAAATTCATCAAGTATTGTTTTATACTTGCTGGCAAATTGGCTTGGAGTAAACCGAACCCACGGCGAAGAAGAAAAGGATTAAGAAACATTTTTTGAAGAACATTCGTCATCTTTGATTGTTCAAATCGTTAGGATAATAATAAACAGTCTTTACTGAAAAAAAAATGCATACCTGAAAAGAAAAATCGAAAAAAATATCAGTTTTATCAGTTCTGCATTCTCTCACTCTCTCTCTCTCTCCATTTAATCGCATCAGTATAAATCTTTAACATGTAACATTTTGACATTGACATTTTTTACATTTTTCTATGCCGCTGTTAAACAAGATATCTAAGAGAATATCGAGTATAACCAATATTTGACACTGCAAATTTACTCCTCCATTGCTCTTGACTTGACTTTATAGCAGTTCAGATTACGTATTATAAATAAAGAATTTTATATTTTTCAGACAAATAGACTAGATAGTCAATTATAAGGACGAGATTTACAGTTTGGTCATAAACAGGGACACAATATCAATCGCCTTATCCCGTTTAATGGTCACCCTTACCGTTCAAAAGGCACATTATTTTGTAAAAGAAGATCGAGTGTCAAGTGTGTTCCCATGGTACTGAAAAGGATTTTTTTTTGCGAAACTAGGTATAAAAGTTACAAATTTCGACAGGATGAATGGTCTCGGAGAGCTTTGTTAAGGCGCTTTGAAAATGGGCTCCGTACACTTGATTTAACAGGTTTGCTAGTGCGGTGCTCGTCAAAATGTTTTTTTAACACTTAGAGAATTTCTGTTTCACAGGCCGAATCTCTCAAAAACAAACTTTAAACGAAATGGCTCGCGCCGCTCTCAAGTTTATCTCTTTCGTTAGCCAGTGGAATAAAGTCCAATAAAAAAAAACATAGTATGTTTAATATGCGAGAAACCACTGGAATTGTGGTTTATTGGGGAGTAATGGTATAGATATAGTATATTATGCAACAAGTATGGTAAACGGCATTTGCGTCACGAGCTTATTTCGTACGAGCGGAGCGAGTGTTTAATAAACGACTGACTTAAAAAGTTTACCAAACGTGTTGCATACTATCCGTTTTCTACGGCTGTTAGTTTTTGAGTATATTTTTGTAAAACAACATGAATACATTCGCTGACATGAGCGTTAGAATTAACAAACGTCAAAATTCAAGCCGTGCGGTAAAATCTCCGAAAACATGCGATTGCCCCAAAACCCGTGCGATAATATTCCGGAAATGTCTGAAGTGGCTCGGGTCCGTGGGACAAGAAACTCACGTGGTAAAGTGACGCTTCCCACACGCTAAATCGGTGTATAATCAAGTATTTAAGTGACATTTAAAGTTACAATTGACGTTTCATCGAAACCTTACAAATTTGTCCATGCGCATTGTTAACATTTTCACACGCAAATATACAATTAAAGTTAAGCTCGTTTTTGGAGGAAACATTTTTGGTGACGCTGTTTTGCGCTGCGCTCCCAATTCGCGCCCATCGGTAAGATCACCTGCAGCATAAGGTTATTATTTGTCGCAAAGGGCCTTTTCATGTTTTAGATGGTGTTAGACTACACTTGTTGAAAGTAAGAAAGTGAAAGTTATATTATAAATGTACGCGATGCAATAAAATTACTGTACAAGTAGATGGATTATACTTTTAAAGTAGACAAAAATTTAAAAAAATTAAAATCACTTCATTTTAAAAATATATATTTTGTATTTTTTTTTAATCATTTTTATATCATATTTCCGAGCAGTGCGAGCTCAATTAGAACGTATGACCCAATTTTGAACTAATTTTTGAATCAGTAACGCCACGTTGCCCTTGAATACAATACAAATACAAATTAATAATTTCGAAAATAATTAGCTAAAGTCTGCCGACATCGCTGTTAAGGGCATAATTTATTTAAATTAAACTCAATGTAAACATAGGCTTCCCTTTGGATCTGCAGCAGCACCTAAAGGGAGGTACTTTATAACTGGGAGTTATTTTTCTATTGCCTGATTGCAGTTGAAAGTTCGCCGAGAGAAATTCCTTTCAGTATCAAACCCAACTAACAGTTATTTTGCGTTTTGGCAAGTAGTTTCTCCTAAACAAGTGGTTTTATAAAACAATCATTTTTTATAGTATTTTAAGCGAATAAAAATTCGTGACTGTCAGAATCATTCCATTATAAATTTTGGTTAACCCCAGAATAAATCTTCTTTTATTTGATTTTTACTCGGTTGGGCAAGTCAGCGAAAGGCGCTCGCCCAATACCGACATCGAAGCCTAGACAAAACATGAAAAAGCTTATATAATATTAAATAAAAATTTACTCTTTTGAGTAGCAAATTTATTAAATTCGGGAACCTAATAACCTGATAAGCAATCTGCAACTTAAACAATATACCTATATCGGCACTAGTATTATTTTCAAATCTTTTAACATGTAGGTAGACGCTTAGTCGAAGAGTCTGGTTTAGTAAATTAAAAAACACATTTTTCGGTTGAAAACAAAGGCTGGGATCTAGTCATATGATAATTACCGGCAAAGACCTGGGATCGGATCCCCCCTGGGGTTTAACTGGTCCGACAAAAGAGATGTGTCAGTGCGGCCTGTAAATAGTCCAAAAAGGCAATCAATTGCGTTTCCTTTGACCGTCAACTGATACCGCTTGAGTACGGCTTTCTAGCTGAAAATGTCACGGGTTCTAATATAACATCCTGTGAGCGAATATGCTGAAACGTAATTGGATATCTTGATACAAAAAAGGTACGTGTGAGTTGATAAATTTGCAAAAGGGAAATTTTTGTTTAATCACACTAAAAAGTCGCTAAAAGTATGTGATATGTCATTGCAAGCTAATCGAAACTGATTATTTAAGCGTAAAAAATACATGAAAAATTTATTCGTTCCATATAAGTAGAGTAAGCTAGAAAAGCGTGAAGCTCCTATTTACAAATAACATTCATGCCGTTGGTTTGGACGGTGGTTTACAGATGGAGCTATCAGAAAATTACGAAGTACTGGTTGGTTGTGCGAGTATTTATTCATGCCTCGAAAAATATACTAATTTACAATTAGACGGAAATAATACGACTTTACGGTTTCCAACATATATAATATTAGTTAACATTTCTATACTTATCAGGGAAAACATACATAAAATATAACCACTATGCTAACGACAATAACTAAGCATTAACACGTGTTTAGGTCAACAATTTTACCACAAAAACATGTAGGACTAAATAATTTAGTGGCCGTTTATGTCTGTATACGTAACTAATATGTTACCTATCGTTATCTCTATCTTTGGCACAGAATAGTAAATTAAAAATATTCGATCTCCAAATTCACACTCTCTAGTCATCCATTTGACATACCGTCATGCTGCTTGCAAAAAAGGTATGTCCGTTGATTGTTACGAATTACAGGTTGCTAATTAACAGCGTCATTTTCACCATACGGCGTTGGACAAAAATATCATGTTACCTTGTGAATGTTAAGGCATTCCTTGCGCAGAGTTAATTTCATTTTCAAAGGTAGCATTTTTTTAAAAAATAAATAACATTGAAATCACCTTCGTTGACAAACCAACGTCTTTGGCTGACAGTGACGGATATTTCAGAAACCTTAAAGGTCTATAAAAATCAATAACCATCGGACATTCATTTTTCTTCAAAACTTTGTTACGACCGATGTCTGGAATCAATTACACAAAAATAACGTCATTATAAATGGGTATAAAACTACTCTCGAAAGAATTTTATTTTATTATTTTGGAACACAATTTTCGTAGCGGTTGATTTGATTTTCGTCGCTGTAATTGATTAGGAAACACTGCGAAATTGAGGAACTTTTAGTCGTTTATAATAATTGAGGCGGTAAGCGACAAAGTGGTGCGAGATCTATCTTATCTAACTAAATGTCTTTAAAAATTTAGGACATTTTACTTATATAGTTTTTTATAATAAAGTCAAATAAAAGGATATGATATCATTGACACCCCTTGCGTCCCTGTTGGAACTTGAATATGTTTTGCACTTAATGATTTTTTAACTCTTGTACAAATACAAAAAATACAAAATCTTGACCAACCACTATAAAACTCTGTTCTTATTAAGATTGCTATATCCTATCCTAGTTGTGTTTATTTTAATCAATATTATGTTCTACAATTTCCAATTATACACTGATCAGGCATCCTCACAGTTTCTGGTTCTTTAGTTTAAGGTTTGGTGGAGATCGGATGTTTACAGTATATATTGAAACTACTCATAACCAAAGTGTCACTTATAAAGTTATAATTTCATTTTCAAAGGTACCAATTTGTTAAAAAATAAATGGTATCTTTTTCTCGACATTATTTTACACTTTTGAAATAACCTTCAACTAGTTTACAAACCAATGTTTTTGGCTGACAGTGATGGGTATTTCAGTTACCATAAATAAAGGTCTATACAAAGTAATAACCATCGGACATTCATTTTTTTCAAAACTTTGTCTCGAATATATTAAACTCTTAACTTGAACGAATATTATTTTATTATTTGTAATTGATTAGGAATCACGGTGAAATTGAGGAACTTTTAGTCGTTTCTAATAATTGAGGTGGTAAGCAACAAACTGGTGCGAATCCTAGAGGAAAGTCAAAAATTTGATGTATCTAAATAACTGTCTTTAAAAATTTAGGACATGTTACTTAAATAGTTGCGTCATCCATAGCTTCCATATGTTTTGCACTTAATGATTTTTTAACTCTTGCAAATAACCATGCAAAAAAATACAAAATCTTGGAAGACAACTATAAAACTCTGTTCTTGTTTAGGATTGCTATATCCTATCCTAGATGTGTTTACTTTAATTAATATTAAGCTCTAAAATGTCCAATTATGCACTGATCCGGTATAGTCACTGTTTCTGGTTTCGGATGTTTAAAGTATATATTGAAACGAAAGTGTCGTTTATAAAATTTGTTGTTGGCAAAAGGATGAAAATTGCAAAGTACTCATGCATCCCATTGCTTCCAAATTTGCATTTGCATTTGGTAACGAATTTACGATCTAGCTCTCTCCAACCAAATAAAATATTACATCTCAACGAACTGGATAGCCTGACCTATAAAAACGACATGTCGGGATTCTTCTTGCCTTATAATTTAGACATATATAAGCCAACAACTCACAGCAACTTTCGTATAAATCTTAGCTTAAATATCACATTCCTCCGAAAATGGATTCTAAAATCCCTAAGCGATTAGGAGTGGCATAATGAGTTTGCTCAATAAAGTAACCGAAAAACATCGAATTGTGCGAAATTGGACTTACGCATTCGCCTAATTTGTTCAAATCAAAAAAATCATTTGCTTATGTAAGGAATTGCAGGATATTCCTATTTCTTCATTTCAATTCCATTTTCGTTATGTTTCGGGCATAAAGTTTCGTCGTCAATATTGGAAACGATCGACGCGTGTTCTTCGAGCATAAAGCCGTACTGGCCATCTCTGGGTGTTTTCTCGTGACCTTTTAGCGCGTGTTTCCGAATGAAATCGACCACGACTTCCGGGGCCGTTTTGGACAGTTCCAAGCGATGCCCCCAGGTTACTAAGGCAATGGGCTGCAAAAAAATAATAACCTATAGAAAGTATTTAAGTAAAATGCTCAAGACAAACAAGTTTGATAAACGCGTCACGAGTTGAATTATGCATGAGCGGAGCGCAGTGTGTAATAAACGTATTGTATGCTATAACCTAGGAATACTTTCACCACAGTATACTAACTAAATATAGTAAGGTAACCGAGAGCTTTAATTTGCATTCATAGTAAAAAAAGCGGCAAAACACAGATAGCGCTGACGACACCATTTTCTAATTGAGAAGCCAGAGATGGCAGCACTATGAACCAAAGTCTAGCCAATTGGTGAACCTCTGTCCAACGCCCATGCTTCAGCAGAGGCGTCAAAAGTAACCAAAATTAACCAACACAAACCAAAAAAAATTACATTTTTTCGTAAACGAAGGTACGGTTCTTTAAAAATTCGAGGGCAACTCAAAGTACTTAACATTTAGTATTTTTTCTGCTATTTGTGAAAAGTGATTGTATACTTTGTATATATGACAGAAAATTCGGTAAATATTTCCGCTAAAGACAAGTTAAATAAAGTATGCTGTGTAGCCGAATGCCGAAATTGGACCAATCGCTCTCCAAAAAACTCTAAACTTTTTTAGGTGGAGAGTTTTGATAGTGGAAGAAATTTACAGAAAATGTGTCGTTTGTGTTACGAAAGGCATAAAACCAACATCAGTTCCCCTGTTTGCTTATCCCAGGTGAGTTTTTACATTAAGTTAGTGTAGTTAATTGGCTAAAGAGGTTGGATAATTTTTTCATCATCTATCTACCAAATTTAATAAGTAGCTTTTGATACCATACATCTAGTAACTGTTTTTTAAATTTGAGAAAAGTCACATTTTATGTTCTGTGTGTAGGAAAATATTACACGCGTTTTGCAGAATTCGAGAAATAATTTTGTTTATTTATTGCAATGAACCGAAAGACATTTTTGTTTTTTACATGCACATACATTACGACTTTACCGGTGTAACCCGTTTTTTTATTTAAAATCGTTCCTTTGATAAGAAAGGAATCTATCTAATTTAAATGTTATACAGTGGAAAATGAGCGTTTCCAATCTATTTTAGTACGTGATTTGTGATCAGTGCACCGGGTTTCTTAAAGTAGGGAGTGAGTTAATAATTGAAGAAACAGTTCAATAACTGAAACTCGATTAAGTTTAAAAAGTTTCCTTTGCGGTTGTTAATTAAATAATTTTGAGGTAACGCTCCACTTTTCAGATACAATTAAAACTTTACGCTTCATAATCCCCATTAACTGGCTGTTTCATTTTCGCGTTTCCGCCATTTTCGAAAGGTTTCGAAACGCTCGAATCGGCCCCCAATCAGAATCAAATAAAATTACGTACCCTGTTTGGTGTGAGCAAATTGTAAGGCGTGATGACGTGTCTGTAAAGACAAGACTTGATAATTTTCTTGACGATATTTACTTCGTTTCTGTTGGCACACGGATGGTACAACATGGCCACGGCTCCGTGTTCCAAGTTATGTAACCATCGTTGCCTGGGCAGAAACGTATATTCGCCGTACTTGGCCCACAAAGGTCTATGACTACCGCTGAAATGATAAATAATTAACTTTTTAACTTTTACATGCAGGATACATCTGGTCGAGACTGGTCCATACATTTAGTAGAGGATGCAGTCTCGTTAATTAATAAAAATGCTAGATTTTCCACATGTTCCACATGCCATCAATTAGACTGAAACTAAACCGCTGTCAACAATTTTGATAAATATCTATCAACTCGGACCAGGAACCAAACATGAAACAAATAAGTCTCTTATTGCGTTAGTTATTTTTTTTTATTTCAAATGTGATGATGTGAAATAGATATAGTCCAATAAAATAATAACGCAATGTCTACAATTTACACTAGTTAACAATAAAGTAAATATTATTAAATACTTACAAAGTGGGAATAACTTCGTTATAATCTATGGACTCATTTAAACATTTGTGCGGCGCCTGAAATTCAGATTCAAATTAATTGCACTTAATTAAGGGTAATTTTTAATATGTAAGCGATAAACAGTCACTTACACTGTAAGAGGTCGGTATATGTTCTACACTGTGGATCGGGTGGATGGTTGCCTGAGGTAAATAGGTTGTTTTATCGTCGTAACAAGTATAATTTTCAACATTCATATACCAATCCATTTGCAAGTTTGTCTGAAAATAAATTAAACAAGATATTCCTTAATATACTTTAAGTAATTGGCTTGTTCAAAAAAACTACTGCTGCTGAGTAACATTTTTAGGTAATATATATATATACAGGGTGTTATTTAATAAGTGTCCGATATTTCGCAGGGTGATTTCTCAAGCAATTTGAAGTTAAAAGTTGCTATAGATGATAGGTGAAATGCTTCTTTTCTGTATAATTTCCTAACGAAAATTGAGGCCAGGAATTTTTTGACATGAGAAATTTTAATTTTTTATTAATTTAGCTCTTGTTTGTAGGGGGTGCTAAGTAAATGTCTTTTCTCATTTTCAGAAGGTCTTGACTCTGTATTATATTTTTTGTAAAAAAAGAATTTCTCCCTCCTTTTACTCCTTTTGGAAGTCCCTAGGAAAAACATTTTTTTTTGATAATCGATGTTTCACGCAATTGTACATTAAATTTGTATTATATTTACATTTTTTACATGACATAAAAAACTCAAAACTTTATACCCTAATTGATTATCTCTTTATAATTATAATTGCTTTTTTAAAAACTAACCGAAATCAAAGCTTTTTAGACCACAACTTTTAACCTTAAAAATACTCAAGAAATTATGCTGTAAATGGGACACATATATATAATTAATTTCAGCATTTGTATAAATTTTTGAACAGCGATGTTTTCGTATCTACTCCAAGGAACGTTTTCCGGAAAATAAAAAAATAAAACACACTAAATAAAAAAAAACATATGTTCTAATACACAATGCGTTTCGATCCAAAACAATCGATGCGAGGGTTAAAAGTTCCCCATCCAAAAGACTGTTTTGAAAACTAAAAGCCCGTAGATGCCCATAATCTAGACACGTAAAAGTTTCGTTGGATGAATATCTAACACGCGTAGCAGCAACAAAAGCGTTATAGTTTTTTGTTTTAAAAGGACCAAAAACTTCAGTAATCCTCCTGCCCAACTTCATTATTAGATGTAGTCGTTTCACAATTTCACGTTTAGAGCTGTGGTTATTTTTAAACTGGGATTTTCTGAATTTTATTTGTTGCAAATATTATTTGGAGTTTATCACATTTATTAATTTTTGAAACTGGCCACCAGCAACATTTGTCGGCCACCAACACCCATTTGTTATATTTAGTTCAACACAAATAGATTAATATTGACCTCAGATTTGCTTACTCCTTCAAAAGGTTGCTAATTGCGATGTATTTAAAATAACTTTATTGTCTACCGAAGCAAAAAGTTAAAAAGGTCATGCCTATATCGGCAAAGACCACATTTTTGAAATAAAGAGCTTCTTTCAACCTTTGAACAGCTTTTATGGAATTGAAAATTGTATCCTGTGGATATTTAAGCTTGGTTTAATTTATATCGGCACAACTTTTGGCATGCGGCCGTTTTTTTTTTTTTAATGGAACTGGTTTTAGTCCATTAAATTTCTTCTTTATTTTATTCTTTTATTTCTATTTTTCAATTTTTATTGAGATACTAGAAAATTTCTTAAAATATTTAGCCAATGGCAAATAAATAAAAATTCAAAGAATGCTGTTTTTTAAAATCTTTGAATTATGTTAAATCTAAACCCGCTAGAGAAAATACTACCTTCCCATCGTCGCAACTCTTGTCAACGACACCCATTGCGATACCGTGATGAGGATCGTACAGATTTTTGTTATCACCGACAGTCACCACGGGATTAGGATCGGCTTCGTTGGGGTTATGGGGAAACCACCTTCGAGACCAAGGTTCATCGTGAGGTCTTGCAGCTGAAATGAAAATGTTGTGCCCCATCACACGCAGCTTAAGGGGTAAGCTATAGAAAACCCCATTAGACTGACAATTACCAAAAAATAGAAATTTATACTCTACATTTCAAGCTCATATGTGTTTTAAAATCATCCGGTTATGCTGGAAGTAGACTCTTACCAGTTATTTTAGAAGTTCCATTTCACCGTTATGTATTATTCCATTTCAGAATTCTACTGAACAGTTTTTAAAATATTAATAATTTTATTAACAAAATGACAGCTATCCCGCTTACATATTTTTTAAAGATTCCAACAAAGATTCATTTCTTTTTCATTCCTTTTTTTAAAGAAATTAGTCACTTATTGTAGCAGCTTTGCAAATTAATTTTGTACAAACGAGTCATATTTTTACGAAAAAATGTGTTTAGTAACAAAAAATCTCTTACCCTTTGCCGATATAATAGTCAAACACAAAACCACGATATTCTTAAACATAATAATAAGTGGTGTCACGACAAATATCGAAAGAAAAATTATAACGGCAAACTGAAGCAACGAAAATTTACGACTACAGTGGCATAACGAAAAAATCGTGCTTCAGCTCACGCGGAATGATTACACACACCGTTTGCGAATTTTGCGACCCGTATGCCTCTGACGTTTGATGGAGGATTTACCACTATTTGCCAGCTGTTGATAGACAAACATTAAAATCCGGTTTTGTTCCATTCCACAGGAATCAATTATAACCCTGCGTTTCCCCATCTACCGGTGGGGAACCAAATTCGAGTCTCACTTCCTCCTGGCTAGCTGTGTTTGAAAAGTAGTTAAAGGAGTTACTCATAGATGTCAGATTCAATCCAGCTAGTAATTTCAGCACAACTGTAGATAGATGTCGCTATCGGATTTCGGAAAGCTATTGGATAATATAGTGATCTGAGGGCTATAAAAACTTTGTAGAAAATGGAATGATTTTCCTTTGTGTTCTGTATATCTAGTAGATATATGTAATGAAATAAGGAATGTTTGCATATTTTTATCAAAATATTGTTTGTACAAAAGAACCCGAATGAATTGCACCCTAAATTTTTATTGTAGTTTGGTAAGCAAAGTAAAGTAAAACGCGTAAGAAGATATACATGTTTTATTGTAACTTTCAATTCAAAATGTATTTTATATAAGATAGGTTATAAATAAAATCTCCTAATTTACAGTAGGTACAGCTCCACAAGGCGACACTGTAATTGCTGCAAAGGACTGAATACAAACTTATCATCTACTATTATAATTATTTGCTACATATTTCCTATTCGAGGAAAAATAATATATTTGGTATTTTCCTTTATTGTCTAAAAACTTTTTTAAAAAGCCACTATAAGGTTGTAGACATTAGTTATTTGTTATTTTATAATTCAAATATTTAATACAAATACTAACAACAAATAAACAATTGGTACCCATGTCACATTTTAATTGAGGCTGTATTTGAAAATGGTTTTGTCCCGTATATCACTAACAATTGGCAGGTATAGTTATTTATACACGACTCTTAATATCTTTATAATTATTTTAAGTTGGTAACTTCTTTCGTTTAATGAGTAATAACATTCCCCTAAACTTCAACATTTGTTTAAATTCTCTGAAATAGAGCTTTTAAAATAAAAATTTAATAGATTCAGTTTATCCTAAGTATTTTTAACCGACGTCCACAAATTAATAACACTTAGTGTATTTACAAGTATATTTTCAGTGATATGATCAAGTGTCGCCTAGTGGATAAAGATTGCACATTCATCTTTGACAATATTACAAGGAGCAGACAATAGACATATACAGCTGGGTGCTAAACAGGGCTAATCTACGGGTCACAACACACGAGTGAGGGCAACCACTCTCAACACAAGCGTTTATTAAAAAATTATTTAAAAAATTGAATCGAGGAACTTTAAATGTCGAATATCAATTTGCCGTCAATGAAACTTTCTTCTGTCCACAATCAAAATCTGATAACATAAAGAACCTTTTTATGAAATATGAGCGTTCTTGTACTCAGTGTTATAGTTACGCAATTATCAAGAAAAAATTAACTACAGTCAATATACTGATATATACTAATAGACGGGTGGTTCAACAAGTTCAACAAGACATTTTTTTATAAAAAATAATCAAAATCAATCAAATATGTTATGATTGTTGCGAAAATATTTACTACGTTACTGCGTTAAGCAAGAAAATATGCGATTGATATAATATTAATATATTAATTAACATTATAAAAAGGACCAAAAAATAAAGTCCATCTTCTGTCTTTGTTGATAATATTTTTGTTAAGTAACTCATTAAATCATATATCGTATAAAACAAAACCCTCATAACACAGTTACGAGTTAACCCAATATTAAACAAAACCTTTGCATTCTTTACATTTAAGGCGCTGGTGTTAAAAGTAGTTTTCGACGTTGACGGTAAATGAAAAAGAATATTGCCAGGAAATTCTGGCCTAACGAATTTTATATGTATTTAATTACAATACTACAGAGTTCTTTGTTCTTCTTTGTGCTCTTAATCTTCAAAAGGACACACTAGAAATCACACGTCTTCCTCTAAGCAATATATCGTCGGATTTCCTTGAAAACTTGAAAATATAATTGGGAGTATACTAACGAAAACGATTAGGCCTCAAATGCAGTCAGGCACTCACAAATCTCCTTATTCCAGCGACGAAAATTATATTTTCCAAGCAATTGGCCACCATATTGGTTAGGGGAAGAAATTGTGTTGTATTGCTGATTTTTCTTACAGTGACATTTCCCTAACTCTAACTGATATTCAGTAACATTAATGTGGAAAACACCACGAGTTCTTTCACCTTAAATTAATATTTCGACCTAATACATTATTTATAATTTAAAATTAGGACTACTCTTTAAGAAAGTATTAACTACAGTATATCTCACTTATTGCATCGATCGACTCAGATGCAAGAATATATATTTTTACTTACAAATTTGACCAATTGACTTTTTGTGAATCTAAAAAATTCCACTGCAATGTTAAAAAATTTGTGTCCAGATGTTAAACAATGGATAAAAAATTGTGATAATTATATTTAATATCGCAATCATATAAAAGAACGTGGAACAGCGTTATATAGAAACATTTTTCCAGTGAATTCGTTGTATTCATTTAAATTCGGTATTATATTTAACAAACGACTCGACTGTTCAATAAATCCAGAACAAATTTCAACAAAAGTGGAATTATGTAGCCGGATCGCAATAGTTTTTTTTAGAGCTACTATACAAGTCTCAAAAGTTTAATCAGTGCAAAATTATTTTCTTCTACCTACGAAATACATTTTGCATTTATAAGAAAGACAATATCTTTTGTTTTTGTTAGAGATCTTTGAAAGCTAACTCGTTAAATTTTCAAAAACATATAGAGTGCACGAAACCATTTAAATGGAAGACGGAAAGGATTTTACAGTATATTTACTTGTTTAAAAAACAAAATTAAGCGTCTATCCAATGGTTCCAATTTAAAGGTAAACAAGGGCCAGAAAAACAGTTACCGAAATGAAAAATTGGACCGTCTATGTACAAAACCAAATGAAAAGCAAGAATGTAAAGTGACATCATTAAAGTCTCTGAGGAGTACACACAACTTCCAAGTTGTAACCAGTACCTAACGGTAGGTATACTAGTTTGCTCGTCTAAACCCAACAACAGGTACTTGAAAGGTACTGCATATAGTTAAGTGAAGTAATTGAAGGCCTTCACCAAAATCTACTGATTGTGCACTTTAATGGTTTGTTTATAAGAAAAACTGTTTTTCCGCTAAACGTAATCTAAAAACATTAGTCCTAAAATACAAGTAGATCCGTTTCTTAATTTAAAACGCAATTTTCATTTTATACATCATAATTACAAGTATCAATACAAATATAAACATCAAAGTGATATTTTTTTTTGTTTTAAGAATCGAAACACATTTTCTTGAAATGCTACTTTCTGAATTTCCTAATCAATTTAAAATAAAATAAATTACCGTTTTATATCACACCATTTTTTTTAAATCAATACATTTTATTGCTAGAGCAAATTTCTCCGACTACCTAAACTTAATGACGTAACGTCGGTCCTATGAATCCATAATTAAAGCTACGCATGGGGAACTTAAAAAGGGTATCTTCTCGATATCTTGCCAACACTTCAACAAAGCCTGCAACGGAAAAAAAACAAAACTTTAGAAAAACACAAATTATAGACATACATATAGAAATTATGGAATTAATCTCTAAAAAAATTAAAATATGGAATTTCTTATTATATCTTCGAAGTAATAAAAAATTGTCTATCGCTGCTTCGCATGAACATTTTGAAGGACAAAGCAGTCAATCTATTTGGAGTATTAGGTAAATGTACTAGTTTTAACTTACCGATATATTTTACACCAATCCCAGGTATCCTCCAATCGTGCAGGTTAGTATAATAGCCAAAATTGTAAGACATATTAAGATCATAATTTTCTTCTGCAATTTGTAAACAAAACACCGTTATTACAATTACACTATTGACTACACTACACCTGGTGCCATATGTCACTGGTGAAAGTGAACTGTTTGCTTAACGATGTAACGATATTAACAAGTCCTCAAAATAAACAAAATATTTTATCAAGTTTTAATGACTGCGTGTGCTCATGCAATGTACAAGTGCTCAATTCCTGGGTTAATAATTAAAAGGATCTATTATTATCTAAATAAATCATAAAAATAAACATTCTCCTTACAGTTCACTAAGTTAAGTATAAATTAAAGCGTGGCGATTTAGTGTAGTGTAGTTTAAAGTGGTTTACCATATTTGGGAAAGAAATTGTGCGTGCACCATCGCAAAAAAAATAACAATTACAATCTCAAAATTTCTTTTCCATTACGAGACAAGGTAAATTTTCAGACACTGAATACCAACGGGGCAGTAGTCAATGGTTTATGAAGTGTGCAAGTGTAGATGGTCGCTATATTTTAATCGCCAAAAATAAAATATATATAAAATTCGAAAAATGTTAAAGACTCGCGTTGCCCATTATTTTGGCTTAAACCGAAAAAAAAAGCAATCTGGTTATGGAAACACGCAATGAGCTTACCACCACTGCTATTTTCTTAAGTCGCTAAAAAGAGCAATAGATACCTTCTACAGCATTTAACGGGCAGCTGAATTTCAAATATTTATCATTGCATTTATTTCAAAACCACGTTTATTCCACTTTTTTTTGGTAATAGAAATAGGAATTCAGTGAAAACGTGTGCCATTTCCCGAAATTTTATTTAATTTAGGCAGTTTACGACATTTGAAAATATATCCTCTAGATAACCATACCAACTTTGGCGACGAAAAAAAATTCATGAATTTGCGAAATATACTTACACTATGTAAAATATGTAACCACACTTCCGCCGAGAAGAACAATTACTATGATTAGGCAGATTAAAATTATAATATTCTTTTAAACGATTGTACTCTTACTCAACTAGGAAATAAAATAAAACAAAAACAATATAAAAAGAAAATTATAATAAACAGAACTACATAAGGTGCAAATAAAACAGAATATGTTGCAGAGAAATAAGTAGTATATGCATATATAAAATAGGATCAATAATTTTTTGTAGCAGTAGCTATATACACATAATATAATTATATAAAGAAAAAACAGCAACCGTCTTTGGATTATCATGATACTCTCACATAAATGCATAAATGAAGATAAACGATATTCTTTCGATAAAGAAATGGATAGTTAAATGAGTATCGCAATAATTTAAATGCTCCATACCTAAGACTTATTTATCACGCAATTACTAATTGTAATCACAGCAGTTTCTTCCAAGAATTGCGCCAGTCTCGTCCTCACCCCATTTGTTGTCCTTTAAAACCACTGTTAAAAAATTAATGTAAACAAGCAGTCTCCATATGCTCCAAGTCATTAGAATTTCTTTCCAATTTTGATAATTAAAGTGGCACTTTCCAATGTCTTACTTTTCAGAACCAGTTATGAAAACGATAACTTGTATTGACTTTTGAATAAATAAAAAGGATTACCATATCAAAATTAGAAAAGATATAGTGTGAAACACTATTTATCTATTTAATTAGTTCTTCAATCTTAAAAACCAACATTGTTGTAGATAAAAAAAAAGCGCAGTATAGCTTATAGTTAGCAGCATGTTATTGCAAAAAATGACAAACAACAAATGGAGACCGAATTTAACACATATAATGTTTTATTAAAGAAATCCAAATATAATTTTTAAAATTATCAGAACATATTAATCTCATCTTTTCCTTACCACCATCGTTTCGGTTTTCCGACCCTTTAATATTTTATTGCCAAAACACATTAAAAATATTGTTAAGCAAACCCAGCTCATTTTATACGTCTCACTATTGACGGTTAAAAAAACATGTATGTTTATGATCGTAATTTGTAGTCAATTTTTAATAATTTAGCCAAAAGTTATTGCTTAGATCTGATATTGTGATCTCTTATATAAGCTTCATTAGATAATAAAAACTGTATAGAACCATTTTTTTTCAAACATTTTAGAAACACTTTAAAACCCAAATTTTCAAAGTCAAGAGCACAAAAATTCGAAATCTTAAGACTGTTTGGCAGTACAGCAAACATAATAATTAGTGAAAAGCATTTGTCTTTCGATGAAAAATAAATTAAATAATTATAAACAAAAACAGGTCACTCATTTTAGATCCCAGAAATATTGTTTTGATTCATTTAAATTTAACAAGCTTCATGATGAAAATATTTTTTATTTTACCAGGCTGATTATTTAATATCAAAATATCACAAAAAATACATTCATTGTACAAAATGTATATTCCAACTAAAATGGGTGACCCTCTAACTACAATCTAACTATCACAATATAAAACACATCTACACGGTAGGAAGATTTTTTTGAATTTTTTGAATCCCGCGTACCTACGTTTTGGGTTTATTAAGTGAACTTGACGAATAAAACATTTTGAAACTCCTCTGAGATCGCCGAAGCACCAAAACATGATTTCACTTCAACTAAATTCGTTTTATAAACAATTTGTTGGTTCGAAATCAGATCTTGGGTTTACAGTCATTCAGTATACTCTCAAGACGATTGAAAGTAAACACACACATACACAATTCAGTTAAATGTATTTTTTTTTATAAACATTTCATTTAAATCTTCAAATAAATAAACTTGCCTATAATACATTGGGCATCAAATTTGCACCGTTTTGACATATAATACAATGTTTTCTTTTGTATTTATACAATATTGCATTTTTAAATCCTCCGCTCGTGGTTCTACTATGCCTATAGGGTTACTGCTAATATTATAATTAAAATTATGAGAGCAATAATTAGGCATATGATGATGAAGATCATTTTCTGGAAAAGGAAAAAATGAGAAATAAAAAACGAAATTTAGCGTAAATAAATATTGATACATGATATGCAATATTCTAAATAATAGGCCAGGCCCATAAATTTAAACAACTATTTTTTGTAAAGGAAACACTAACGAAAACAAATCAAATGACCGCAGTTGAGGAGCAGTTTCAAGATTAACAATTTCTGAGTATAAAAATGCTCCAAACCTGCGACATTTCAGAGAAGAAAGTTACACTAACAGTTTTTTTTTCTACTTTAAGAATTAGTGCAACGTTCTTCCTTCAAATTCTAAATTTTCATATAAAATGGTGACTGCAACACTTTAAGCAATGCTATATCTAAATAGAAAAATGAGAGGAAACGTATTTATAGCATGGACAGGAATGTCGATTGCTGGATTTAAAAATTTCATTTTTTTATAGTTCTAAAAAAAATTCATATTGTCCTGGTGGGTTTTATTATTTTCACGCCAAATGAAATAAAATGTACTATATATTCATATCTTTTCATCTCAAACATTTCTTAATATAGTACGTAATTATTTAATTGTTTATGTATAATTTGAAAATCCAGCAACCTGTTCATACTCACCTTTCGGGCCTTTGACTGATACTCCTTGGCAACCTTAAGCTGAACATGGGCTTCAGCCACGTGCTCTTTTGTCGAATCTACTTGATACTCAATCCTGTCCACCAATTCACCCTATTCGAGGGTTAGGGGGAGAGCGTGTCGGATATGGGAAAAAGAAGGAACCAGGGCACACCACCGAGATAGGCGCAATATACAAAAAACAGCCCAACCAACAGTTAAATATATATATATACACACACATCAAGTTAATATGGTTACATTTAAAGTAATACAGTGACAAAAGGCACACAGTATAGTTAGTCGTTAAATGGGTGCAAAGCAAGCCCGAAAAGTTAAACCAAAATTTGGGGGTGGCGGGAGGTGTAAATCAAAAAACAGGGATGGTAGGATAAAGGGGTGCGGGGAAGCGAAACAAAAACAAAATTAAAAAGCGAATATACACTGTCGATGTTCTTAACAGCTAGGTTGCGACTCACCCGTCGGGCGCGGCTCTGGTACCGAAGAGCCTTTTTGGTATCTTGGGTTGCCGTTTGGACATAGTCCACGGCATGTTCCACGTGGAACTCAATGCGGTCTATCATTTCACCCTAGAGGTTATTGAAGGCGAAGAATAAGAGGGAAAACGGTTAGTTATATCAACTCTATGTTAGTTCGTACACAAGACAATATAATTTATATTATTTAACGTGTTAAAAAAAAGTACACCCGTTTCAGAATAAACTATGCCGCCAGCAATACTAAAGACAATGTCTTTTCGCTCTGAATCGATTTTGAAATCGTTCTTGCTTTTAAAATGTTTTTGTGGCTTTATCATGACTTTATTACAAATATATCCAAATCAACCCAACTTATTACTTTTAATAGGAAAAAAATCCTTTAAAAAACTCAAGTAATTTATGGTGTATTATTAACAACTAATAAGTTTTAGGGTTGGGAGTTTTTAAAATGTTTATTAATCAGCCAAGAAATCCGATAGGTTAGTTAGGATAGATAAAAACAACTTTATCCCCTATGGTGTGGTGAGATGGTAACTCCTATGAATATATTAGCGTTGAATCGAATCGGAAAGACATTTTCCCTAGAATGCAAAGGTCACATGCGAAACTCTTAACATAAAATTTGCATCGTTCAAGCATAACAACGAAACGTTAATTGGCAGTTAATGGCATGCATATTGCAGAAAATCAGAAGCGGCAAAACCCACTTTTATCGAAGAACACATAAATAATTTAATTATTCCCGGAAGTCTCCGAGTATCGCTGTTTGCACTTGGAGGGACACACAACGAAGATTTATGTTATTAATTACGTTCATTTATGAGATGTACGTTCGGGAAGAAACTGATCAAATTTATTTTTTTTACTGTATCAATCAGAATCACTGAACTGTCAATTCAGTTGATGTGTTTTCAGTGAACATTGAATTGAATGGCACAGAACCCAATACACTTTTTTAGGGGGAAATAATTATACCCTTTAAGCTGAGATCATCAAAAATGAATCAAAGGAACGCATTTCTTAGTGCGTAAAATCTTTCACTTTTAAAGATATGGTTGATTACAGGAGGTTCCATTCTGACTGAATCTTCTTGACCAAATGCAAATGTTTCAAAATTGATTGAAACAAATTTAAAAAAATTAAAAATATTAAAATGGCGCGCGACAGCTGTTGTGAAATATATTTTAACTGCAGTAGAAACGACGAGAGCGAAAACAAATTAGACACTTAAAGCAGGGCCAATAATGACCATATATTATGAACTAGTTTTGAGGGCTAATCAGTTTGAGGTATAGCCCATTTTCGTTGTCAAAATATGGGTCTAAACCAAAAACTTGCCTTAAAATAACCTGTCTTGACTTTTAAGTTGTTAGGTGTTGGTAAAAATCATTCCCTGGATTCAACGGCATCAAAAAAAAAAAAAAAAAATCGAAAACCGAGCTTCAAGCGCCTATTTCTGTTTAATTTTGGATTCGCAAAAAAAAAAGAAAAAATTATTAAATGTCGCGCGACAAAAAAACAAAGATGACTCGTCCAACGAAATTACCTGGTTCTCCACTAACATAGCCATATCCATGAACATGTCGTGGAGCTCTCTGATGGAGTTTTCTAATTTTATAATGTCGGCGTGTCGGGCCTCAATGTCCGCCAGAGTTTGCTTGGCTTGTTGCGTTTCCATTATAATCTAGGTAAATCGTAGAAGAAAATTACATTTGATGATTAATTTTCTTAGAAATTCTCAAAAAAAAAGGATCGAAGTGGATATTAACGAATGGACTAATAAGGTCGCCTATAGTCGTATGGATATTTTTCGAAAGCGCAGAAAATGGGAGGGGGGTAATTCCAGCTTTCAATTTCACTAGGAATCTCAGAAACCAAGATGGCTATGAACATATTATTGGGGACTTCTTTAGTTTCATAAAAGAGTAACCAAAGTAGCAAAACCCGGAAAAAAAAATACCTTGTACGCGTTATATATGACTTCTCAATTTTTTTCAATATACGGCGTGTTTCTCATACATTTTTCATATAATTTTTGGTGGATATTTATCTTCGTTATTTTGATAATAATTTCACAGCAATAAAAACCATGAGCGACATAGAACTAAAGAAATATTTTTTTCTCAGCTGGGTCTTCCACCAAAGGTGCTCTAAGGCATTCCATTTATAAATGATGGAAAAATAACCAAAACTAATTGTCCTTTCGCATAGCAACCTAATTGTCGACTTTAAATCACAAACGCTGGCTTTTTTCTGATTTTTATGATAAAATTCACACCAATTGTTTAAAAAAATTCTGACTTATTTTGACTTGTTTTTCACGAAAATTGAAAACCTTTCAGCCGTTCCGTAATAACGGTTACAAAATACGGGCCGTTCACTTTTTCTTCCAAAGATCGTGAAAAGTGAAGAACAATACTTACACCTTGGGTAAAGACTGCCGAGTTCCCTTGTTCCAACATCTCTTCCAACTCTTCGTTTGTCGTCGTTCTGCCGGCTAAAACAACAAACACGCTTAGAAGTTTTACCTTCAACAAGGACGGACTATAATAGAACGAAAACTTACTGATTTCCAATTGGCGCATTATTCTCGCCTTACACCTCTCCCTGTAATCGGTTTGAGTTCTATTGTATTCGGTCATCACTTCGACGAATTTTCTCGACAGCGTTGACTGCTGGATCTTTCGTATCCTTAAGTCCGCCGAATTTTTATTTGTCGTTTCCTCTTGGTCTATACTTTGTTCTATTACTGCAAATATCATTTAAATTAACAACAACCTCAATAACAGATCGTTATTGACGAAAAGAATAATTCACCGAACCACCCGCTCACCCTTTAACTTGGCACGGACTTTGTTGGCAGTTTTCTTGATGTCACTCATTAAATCCTCCAATTCTTGTTTGGTCTCTGAAAAAATACAACGATTACAATTTTCAATTTGTCGTCAATACAACAGATCAGAGCAAATTGCGACAATATGTAAAAAATCTTTCCGAAAATCGAAAAATATCGCACAGTTGTCGAAAAACAATATCATATCGAATGTGAAAGGCTTGTTTTTCTTTTCCATTTGTTGTTAAATACAACTGCGTCTTCGTTTTAATCTAAGCGGTCTGGGAAACTTGAAAAAGTCCATAAGGGCAAAGTTATTAAGACAAAAGCGGACAAATTTTATGCACAAAAATTCAAAATTCCAAATTAAACTTAAAACTTGATGCAATGCCATGATAAAAAAAAAACGAAATGTTCTGAAAAGATCCAATGTGATTCCAGGCTGTCAAATTCAAATTGGAATAAAAATTTCTGAAACAGCGATACTGAGGCACCAATCGCTAATTTAAAAAAAAATAAAAATCAAAGGGATTCGAGCCGACTGAAGTTTGAATGTCACGTATATGAAATTTTACAAAGAAAACCTATCTATTTTTAACAAACGTCTTTTCACTCCGCATCCGCAGACGAAAAAGCCACATCAGGGACCTGCCCACGTGTTTGATAACATTTCAAAACTCGGATAAATTCAAATTCCGCCCTCACACATTTTCCATCAGCCTCCACAGGTTTCCATCGCGAAACGTAGTTACGATATAATCATTTGCGATATGCCCACGCGAAGCTATTTCGAAACGTTGCCGTCCGTATCTGCCATATAGGAGCTAACGCTTTTAACGCCTATTTTGTTTCGCGTAGTAACGGGAAACCGTGAAACGACGATCGATTTGCGTCATCCGTCGAAGTAAATCGGTCGTGACAAAAGTGCGAGAATTCGGTGCATCCGACCGTTAAACCAGCCGAACGGAAGAAATCAAATAATTTGAAAGTTTGTGCCCGAAAATGAAAAAGTACGGAACGGTTTTGGTCCGGTTCACGTCAAACACCGCAAACTCTTTTATAGTGCTTGGCGTGTTAGCCTATAGTTGGCCGTTAAGTGCAGAAAATTAATTAAGTAGGAAAAAAGATGTCAACTTTAGCGGCAGTCTTGGGGTCCTAAATTTTATTAAGCATGCTCGATCAATCAATTTGTACATACAAACAAACGTGATGTATAGTGTAAAGAATTCGTATTGAAAAGAAAAACCTACTTCCCATATTAACTTACTAAGAAAATTGAAAATGTATCAATTCAAATACCTATATTTAAAAAAATGAATTCCGCTAGAAAATAATACAATTGAATATAAAAGTCGTGAAAAATATTTGTCTCAGAAGACAAATTAATGTTCATTTAATATATATCACACACAAAACAGGTTAAAATTAGTCAAATATACACAATAAAAAATAAATGAAGATGGCCCAAGTTAAAGTTCTAAAACCTGTGGTGCAAGAAACTTTTGTGCTGTGCATCTGTGTGTGTATGTCTATGAGTAAATTTTTTGTTTGGCATTGGATTTTGGGTTTCCTGTCCGTTTAATACTATTCGGTAACTCACTGAAAAATTTGATACAAGAATACAGAAAAAGAGGACATTCAGATATGTATACTTCCTGAATAGTATGGAAACCGATTTTTTAAAAGCCCCTCGGCAAGAATGAAATTTCCGATATTTTAAAATGATCCTTACTGCCCTTTTCTGTACAACAATACTTATCAATCCCTCTTTGCATAACTATTCCGGAAATCTTGTGCACACTGCAATTAATTGGCACAATTATCAAAGAATGACGTCGTTGGACATGGTGGTACCATGAGCTTATTCAAGGACTGATGTTTGTTTTGGTACATACCGTATCGTTTCACTTGTGCAAGCACGGCTGGATTTCAATTCAATCAATCTTCAAGCGGCTTGTCTAATGGATATTCTAGCGCATTTTTTTTGCGATTTTAAGAGCTTCTTGCGAATATTTTTTGAATTGCTTTGTAGTATCAATGAGAGGTTGTGATATGCGAAGATACCAGTGTACTGGAAATTTTGAGGACCGTCTGAGTCCTCTCCTTGACAAACCTAACCTTTGTAGAAAGAAAGTTAATAGAATATGACAAAGTTCGTCGGCCATGATTAAAAATTTATTTGGTACAGTTAAAGACGGACAGTTATTGTGAGCATGCCCTAGTCATTTCAAAACTCGCCTCCTTTCAAACCTCGCGTTCAACCAATAAGACAGCCAACACAACCAAAACGTGCTCAGATATCATCAAATTTTCAAGGAAAAAACGAATTAAGCTTGTGCATGCGCATGTTAAAGCCGCACAGGTATATCAATTTCACCGCATTTCCGACTAACGACAGACAAAATCTTGCATATTGAAGAATAACCAGTCGTCAAACAACAATCAAACAACTTTTATATCAATTTGCTTTTTAAAAAATGCATGAAATCATTTTCTCCGTTGAGCACTAAAGTTTAAGATCCTTCGTTGAAACAAACTAAATTCGAATAAATCGTGTGTCGGCACAAAAATCATGGACCTAAGACCTTTTCATTAAAATAATAATACTAATTTGTTTTCAACAAAATATTGCAAACTATAACATTCAGAAGTCCGAAATTGCTTTGCTCTAAAGCCATACATCTAACGGGCGCCATATATCACAAATATTATATTACGCGCAATCAGAAACATTCCAAAAATCGGGCAACCTCCAAACAACCGTGTGCAAGCACGATTTGTTCAATCAATCGATAAATTTGCTGAACCGAAATTTAATTACAGCGCAGCAAAACCCAAAGCCGCGTGTAATTCCTAAATTTCCTGCCTGATACTATAAAGTCAATTTTAATAATAGGCAAATTTAGAGCAAATAGATCTCGTTTTTGGTGTGAAACTAACCCTCTCGACCTCAACCTACGTTAGCAATTTTGGCTTGCCAATTGCTATAGAAAAAAACATAAGTAATTTGTCACTTCTAATTCGCATCAGGTCAAATCAACTCTAATATTCTTAGAAATATTTTTATCGAAAGGGCATCATGGTCCTAGACATTTGAAAAAGGGAGAGTTATTTTGCTAGTTACTCAAATGTGAATTATAAGAGGTGTGTTCAAAAAGTAAGGTTGCTTTTGTAATTGGGCGGGGTAGTAGGTACATTCGATCTTCGATTTTTTTATTAAGTTGGTACACATGATCCTAACATATGCTCACAGTTTTAGCCAGTTTGCACGTTTCCTTTTTTTGTGAGGCAGAATCGTTAGACGTGTTTGTCTGTCAAATAGAAAAGAACAAAGAATTTGCATAAAATTTTGTGGAATATAGTGCCGCAAAACACTTGAAATGTTAATGTGAGCAAAAAAAAAAAAATGTTTATGAGTGGTACAAGTTGTTCAAAGATGGCCGAGAAGAAGCCGATGACGAACCTCGCTCTGGACGCCCCAGCACGCCAATAATTGAAGAAAGCGTTGAAGAAGCGAAACAAGTCGTGTTGAAACATCGCCGAATCACTATTAGAAAAGTGGCTGAATGCGTCGACATCTCTATTTTTGGGCATGAAACCTATAACAGCAAAATTTGTTCCGAAACTTCTAAATTTTGAGTAAAAGGTCCGTCGAAGGAGCATCGCTCAAGAGCTGTTCAACGACATCAATGATGATCCTAATATGCTCAAAAAGTCATTGGTATATGTTTATGACGTCAAAATCAAAACCCAGTCGTCCCAATGGAAGAACCCAGAATCGCCAAGGTCGAAAAAAGCACGTCAATTTCATCAAATGTGAAGGTTTTGCTTACTGTTTTCTTTGATTATCGTGGGGTCGTACATCAAGAATTCTTACCACAAGTTCGTACGGTCAATAAAGAGTATTACCTTGAAGTTATGCGCCGTTTGCGAGAAGCAATACGAAGAAAACGTCCGGAATTGGCACAAGTATATTATATCTGGGGGGGATTACTTTGAAGGGGACAACATTAATTTTGATGAACAAATAAATAGCCTTTGACAAAACCTATAAGTCGCCTTACTTTCTGAACCTACCTCATACATTCATACAGCTGACAGTAAGCAAATGTGGCCGTAAGAGAATTAAACCTTCAACTCATTCTATCCACATAAGCGGCAATAAATTGGTTTGTGGAAAATGGAGCAAGAACAGCTTAGGATGGAAGCCATTTTATCGTATATAAAGTGTATTGTCGAAAGTCAATGTTTTGTGGAAGACAGAGCATTATTAAATGCAAAATTTGTACTTCGAATTGAATCTCCTCCAGAGGTAGATAACTCAAAGGACATTTTTGCATTGTGCATTGAAACGAGCAAAATTAAAGCACTCCAGGCAAGTTTAAACAATAATGAATTTATGTTATTTGGTTTAGGAACTGTTGAGCTTTTACTTTAACAATAAACTATTCTAAATGTTAATTCTGGAGTAGTTTACTACTTTTTTCCGTCAGAGGTATGATTTAATTGTGAAATCGCTAATTGTTGGAGAGAGAACTGTTTTACAGCAGGAGTTGGTTTCCAAACTAGGGCCATACCGTTTACTTCGGTAAGTTCCAAGGGCAAACCCCGTTTTAATTTTTCACTACTCTATAATACAGGGTGCGGCAAAATGATAGGTACTATTTGGGATGTTAATAAAAACCAAACTACATAAAGCAAAATTTTTTTTTTAATTATTTTTGAAATGTATGATGGATCATTTCTCGGGGAATTGAGGCAATTTCTTGTCTTATGGCTGCCTTTAATTATGTTTACGATACGATGCGATACGATATGACTCCGATTCACCTTCGTTCAACTTTATATCAATCGAATATTAAACGAAAACAATACGACGATATTTACTGATTCCCTGTCCCACTTTAACGAATACGCTGGGCCTTAATAACGTTACAAACCGGAAAGTTCGTGATTTACAAAAAAGCTCGCCGATGGTAATCTTTCGTCGAAACGAAAGCTCTATTATTACACTCCGGGTCACGCGAACGGTTTCACAATGAAACGACTGAAAATGGCAGTTTAACGGATCGAAT